ATCCAAATAAAAAAGACAAAATCATAAGCACCTCCAGGCTAAACAGGTAGTAGATAGATGAATAAGTAAATAAATAGCCTTTCTTCTCCCCACAGAAAATACAGTTGTCCTGGCAATCTGGATGTGCTTTGTTTCCACACCAAGACCCTTATAATCACCCCAATTTGAGCAAAATCTACCCAGTTGCTCTTGGAAGATAACTCTCAAGTCCAATTGCTCTTGGAAAATAACCCCAAACAGATAAATTTCTCGAAAGGTGACAATCCTACACCTCTGTTTAGCCAAGACATTTTGTCCATCTGCTTCTCCTGGCTGCAATCTGGCTCTATGTAGGAATTTTACATCCCCCCCAGCTAAATGTAATGTCATGCAAAAGATTTAAAGAGAAAGGTAAAAGGATTAGTAGACTAATCGATGGAAGATATTAACACTCTTTCATGTTGGGTTGAAGAAGGATTTGAGGTCATCAGGAGACAGGGGAACAGGAGAATAGACCTCAAGTATTCAAAAGACTCTATGGATTAAAATCCTATTAAATTCCTATCAGCCAGGAGCCATTTGAGAAGGTTGGGGTTTCTTTAACTTGTCACCATAATTAGCCTTCCCTTAAGCTGTTTTGGGTGGGAAACTTTAGCAATTAAGAAACTGAAAACTTTCATTTTCTAGCACCCATACGGCCTTTTGAATGGTTTAACAACTAGAATGGAAAGTGATTTAGCCCAATTGATTTGAGGGGTTCAGATCTCCCCCTCCTTCAGCCTGTTGTCAGACTCACCCCTGAGATCTGAGCCCCTCAATAGAAAGGGCACTTTGCTGAATGAAAGAATCAAAGGTTCAGATCTACGAAGATGCTTTCTTCTCCTAATCATCCTCCCGTGGAGTTCGATGGAAAGAACAATTCTGCAAAGGGATGGCTGTTTCCCCTAAAAAAAAAAAATCCGTTTCTGGGCCCAGACACCAGTTCACAAAAACTAACCCAGAAACCCAAAGGGCCATGTCTTTCAGCAGGTGCAAGGGTCAGGAAACTGTGCCAGGGAAGGGCAACCAATATGGGCCGGGGTGAAGAACCAGCCAAAGAAACAAGGGTCCTGAGACACACACTGTTTTGGAAGGTTAGTCTGAGCAGTGTTTTCCTCACTAGGTAAAATATCGCCCCAGTGTTTAACATCAATACCCTGCCACTTCCGGCCCCGCCAGGGAATCAGACCTGCGTCACGTTCCACCTCTGATGAGCCCAACATTGATGATGTGGTGCCTCGAGGTCAGAGCGTGCGCTTCCTGCTTTCACACTTGCTGGGTCCTCGGAGTTAAGGTGGAATCGAGGCCAAATTCTACCAGCCGTGTCTCCACCACAGCACCCACCCCTCTTCTGCATTCACCCGGCTGCCCAGTTGCCCTCGTCAGCCTGTGAGCTCCCTAAGGACAGGCCCTGCCAGCTCTCTCTCCCTCCAGCTCCAAGCACGGTGCTCGGCAGAGAGCGGTGCCCGGCACTCTCTTTCCCACAACTGCAGAGGATTCACTCTGTGCCTGAAGGCAAGTCATGGCCTCTGATTATAACGGATGAAAAATTAAGGAGGCTGTTGGGCTGCATGACCTCTGAGGTCATTTTCCAGTTCCCAGAACCTCTGAAAATGCAGTTGTGTACCGGCTAGCTTTTCGTGGCTCCTGTGCTCAAGTCATTATTTATAATAACAATGATGATAACATTAAGAATAGAGAACCTCTATTAAGCCCTTAACTGTGCTCTGGGCTGTCCTCAATACACCACTGGTGTTATTTCATTAATCTTGTAAGACAGAGACTTCTTACTTGAATTCAATACAGTGATAAACTATGATGATCAATAATCTGCCCCAAATCACACCAAGTGGGTGTCCTGGTTCCGGAGTCTGGGCTCCTAACTGCTCTTCCACATCTGCTTTCTGAGCCTCCAGTTCGGGCTGCCAGCCCTTCAGCTGATCTATGTACATCTTCCCTGCCTCCCCGAGGGGCTGCCTGCCTGCCTGTCAATTGCTTTGAATTTCTACCCCAGGGCCCCAGCTGGCCCGGCCTCCACCTGCTCCCAGCAGAGGCAGAGCTCGCCCCAGGATCCGGCAGGCCCTTTGCCCCGAGGGCCTGAGGCTCCTGTTGGGAGCAGGTGGCCGGAAAAGCAGGAGAAGGAGGTCATCAGGGAAGCAGCTCACTCAGAAGGTAGAATAAGAAGGGAAGCAGACAGGGTTAATTTGAGGAGGAATTCCAAGTGCCCCCCAACCCCAGACACCAGTGACCAGAGCCCGCATACATGGCTGCCACCATCAGCAAGGGCAGACACCCAGGGTGGACTTCCTGGTCTCGGTTACAGCCACAGAGAGCAAGGGCAGGAAGGGAAGAGATCCCCTAGGATGGCTTCAGAGGAGTCTTTTAGAAAATGCTTCAGTGGCCTATGGTGGGGGAGGGGGGTGGAGTGGTGCAGTCTTGTGTCTCATTTTATAGCATCTCTGCAGTAATTATTAACATGTTATCTTCAACTACGGAGCCTGAGATCCTCTTGAGCTAGTCTTTAATGTTGTGACCAAAAAAAAGCTTTTGATTTTAGATTTTACAACAGGAAAAAAATTTGATTATATAGGAAAAAATAGTTCATCTCAGCAATCACTTCTAAGTAGTGACCCAAATGAGTTGAAAACTTTGAAAACAGAAAAACCTGCACATGAATATTTAACAGCCTCACCCATAATTGCCAAAATTTAGAAGCAGCCAAAGTGTCCTTCAATAGATTGAGCAAAATGGATAAATGAGATGTGGCGCATCTATACAACGGAACATTATTCAGTGATTACCAAAAAATGAGCTATCAAGTCACAAAAAGGCATGAAGGAAACCCGCTAAATGAAACCAACAAACAAAAAAAAAACACAGTCTAAAAGGATATAGGGACATCCCTGGTGGTCCAGTGGTTAAGATTCTGCCTTGCAATGCCCAGGACACAGGTTCGATTCCTGGTTGGGGAACTAAGATCCCACATGTTTCAGAGCAACTAAGCCCTCATGCCACAAGTAGAGAGTCTGCAACAAAAGATCCCACATAACGTAACTGAGACCTAATAAAGACCCAACACGGCAAGTAAATAAATAGTTTTAAAAAGGATGTATAGTCTGTGGTTCCATATTCATACAGCATAACATTCTGGAAAAGTCAAAATCACGGAGACAGTAAAAAGATGAATGGTTGCCAGGGAGAAAGGGGAGGTGGGGGCGGGGATGTGCCCGTGGGGCACAGGGCACTGTGAGAGCTCTGAAACCATTCTGCGTGACACGTAATGGCAAACACATGACATCACGCATCCGTCAAAATCAACAGAACTCTCCAATGCAAAGCATCACCCCTAATGGGAACTCTGGCCTTTACTTAACAGTCACCTATTAGCATGGCTCATCAGTTCAACAACCACCACATACTATCATCTATCCAGCTGGGCACTGTTTTAAGCACTGACTATGCAAGTTCTCATTTAATGCTCATAGAAGTCCTATGAAAAATAGAGGTCAGGGCTGTAAAACAGACTTGTCAAGGGTCTCAAAGCCAATAAGTGGAAAAAGTAGGGCTTGAACTGAAGGCTCTCCAAGGCCAAGCCCATGAAAGTCCTACACTCTATTGCCCTAACTCCTCTCCAGGGCAACATTCTGTAATAGGGACGAACAAACATGACTCCATATTAGATGCTGCTTTTATTTTAACCTTTGAGCTCTGCTGCCAGTGGTTAATCACACAGGCTCTCCACCTTTTATAAAAGAACTTGCCTAGAACCTAAAATATACAGGATGGCCCATTCTCAGGGCTCTGGCCTTTATACGTATATGGGTAAAAAGTTGCAAAACAAAGGATGACATTTGTTTTGTTGGGGATTCACAGGAACATCATGACCTGACCCACAGGGACACCTGCAGGAACACGAGATTCCTGCACCAAGAAGTTTGCCATAGACAACTAACTTCTCTTCTTAACATAAAAATAAAATGCGGGCTACCCCAAATTCTGACTGGGGTAAGATGGTTCTTTGAGACATCAGTCTGCCATCTTCTCAGTCTGCTGGCTTTCTGAATAAAGTCACTAATCCTTGTCCCCAACAACTTGTCTCCTGATTTACTGGCCCATCGTGTGACAGAGCAGAACCAGTTTGGATTCAGTAGCAATTTCAGTAAGTAAACCAGTGGGCAGAGCAAGTCTCGACAATTGCTCTGTTTAGTCATTCATGCACAAATATTTGCTGAAAGCTATGTAACTCTAAGGATATTAATGTAGGTAAGAGACTCTCCCTGCCTACAGGGAGCTTATAATCTAGTGGAAGAGATAATGAAAGTCCTAAGAACAAGGAACCAAAAAGCTCCAGCTCATGAGAAGCACATGGGGAGAGATCATGAGATGCAATAGAGATTACTAAAGAATCTGTCCTGACATTATATTTAAATAGAAAGCACCCTGGACACCCTAATCATCCTACCTCTAGAGATTGGGAAATTTTGAGAGCATAATAATCCACCAATGAAAAATGTATAAAAATTGCACTATAAGGCAACTAAAGACAGCCAATATAAGAAACAGCTATCCTGAGGAAGGGGAAAAGGAAAATGTCTAACTATGACAGGCACTATTCTGCATCCCTAAACTACATCCTCTCACTAAATCCTGGCCTTTCATGGTAGAGATGACCTTTGACATTATTTTTTTTGTTAAGTTTTTTTCATGTGGTCGCACAGAGTCAGACAGAACTGAAGCAACCTAGCAGGAGCACGATTTTTAAAATCTTTATTGAATTTGTTTCAATGTTGTTTCCATTTTATGTTTTGGTTTCTTGGCCACAAGGCATGTGAGATCCCTGCTTCCCAACCAGGGATGGGACCAGCACCCCCTACATTGGAAGGCAATGTCCTAACCACTGGGCTCCCAGGTCAGTTCTTCTTTGCCGTTACTTTACGATGAGGATGTACAGCTATTTACCTTGTGAAATTCCTGCCTCTCACCTGTGTCTTTCTTCTTATCCCGGGAAAGCTCATGCACAGTGGCACCAATATCATGTCTCAAGATCTTGATGATGTTTGCCAGGGCAGGCACGCTGCGCTGATCCAGATTGGTGAAAAATTCATACTCGTCTTTCTTTAAACGTGAAGGTCTTGATTCAATGTGGGTCAGGTTTATATCATTCTCCTAGAAAAGAGGAGTTAAGGGAGTATGAAGGGGACAGTAACTGGAATAGACACAGACCAAACACACAAAACCAGAGCAAACACAACAAAATGTGAAGTGAGAAAGAAGAGTTCTTTTTACCCCTTTCTTCCTTTTTTCCCCAATATAAGAGTAGAAGAAAGCCTTTAACACAGCAACAATTGTTTACTTTTTCTTCTGCAAAACCAAATAACAAATCAAATGTTAGGGAAAGAGTTCAAATGTCACAGAATTTAATCACGTGGACATCTGCTCAAGGCCTAGAATTGTAAACATGAGATTTCAGTTTGGTACACAGAAGCAAGACTGTGCTGCTTGGATAGAGTCCACAAGAGTCAGGCTTTTTGGGTTTAAATCAAAGTCCTTAACTATATCAGCTACGAGACCTTAGAAAATGTACTTTTATATTTCTAACCATCAGTTTCTCCATCTGTAATTTTGTGGGTAGTTGTGGTGCTTAGTCGCTCAGTCGTGTCCGACTCTTTGCCACCCCAAGGACTGCAGACCGCCAGGCTCCTCTGTCCATGGGATTCTCCAGGCAAGAATGCTGGAGTGGGTTGCCATGCCTTTCTCCAGGTATTCATGGTACCTGGTTCATAAATTTCTAGGAAACACTGAATGAGATGATACATACAGACTGCCAGGTACATAATCCATGCTCAGTTAAAATTATCTAGTATAAACACTGCTCATACTTTTATATAATTACTTTTCATTCCAGTTATGCCACAAATGTATATGTAGCACCTGCCAGGTACTGATCACTTTCTAGGTGGCTGGGATACAGTAGTGAACAAAACAAAGATATTTTCCTTTAATAGAGTTTACATTCAAATTGTGAAGATACAAACAACAAACAAAAAAGATAACTGATTTTTGTATTATAATGACAAAGGCTAGGGAAAAAATCAAAGCAGAGCAGGGTGAAGGAAACAGGTATTCTTGGAGTGGAACGGGGCAGTTTCAATAATTAACAGAATGGACAGGGGAAGTCTCATTGAGAAGGGAAGACTCACGTGCATTAAATGCCGCAAAATAATAATCACTTAACACAGCTTCTCAACTTCAATGTCTCTGGCTGGTGATACTTTAGCCCTTATGGAGTTCATCAATAAAAAGAGTCACTTACTTAAACTGGTCCTCAAATTTCAATGTGTGGTTTTCATTATTACTTATTCAAAACTCTGATTTCATTGACAGTACTGTTCTTTGTGAAGAAAATCAAGGAGTATCCTCTTTATTAATTTTTCTTTAAAAGAGGGTTTCTCCAAACGTTGAAACAGACAAAATGTAGCCAGAAAAAAATGCTTAACTTGAATAATTCTATAATTGCAAAGAAATGAAATTCATCAACCTTAGAGTTCAAGAAGTGTATCTTTTTCCTTGATGGTTAGTGGCATATGGTTGAAGAGCACATGGATAATTACAGTAATGATACTTAAATACAGTGATGATATTCAAATAATATCACTTTACAGTTTCAACATATTTTCTGTGACCTTCTCAAGAATCCTCTGTAGAGGTCAAGGAAGATGTGAAAAACGAAATCAGAGACCAAGATGCTTTGTTAAAAGGGGCCCGAGAGGAAGCTGCTGTGAAACACAGGAGCTCAGCTCGGGGCTCAGCTCGGGGCTCTGTGATGACCGGGATGGCTGGGATGGGCGATGCTTGGTGGCAGGGAGGGCCAGAAGGGAGGGGGTATATGTATACATACAGCTGATTCGCTGCGTTATGCAGCAGAAACGAGTACAACATTGTAAAGCAATTAGTGTGGTTTAGTCGCTAAGTCACGTCCAACTCTTTTGCAACTCCATAGACTATAGCCCACCAGGCTCCTCTGTCCATGGGATTCTCCAGGTAAGAATACTCGAGTGGGTTGCAATTTCCTTCTCCAGAGGATCTTCCCAACCCAGGGATGGAACCCAGGTCTCTTGCACTGTAGGCAGATTCTTACCATCTGAGCCACCAGGGAAGCCACTTGGGAAGCCCAAAGCAATTACACACCTATTTTAAAAAAAAAGTGGCTGGAGAGAGAAGCTCATTTTCTTTAACCTTAGACATTGGTCTTTGAACCACACGACCTGTCCCGCCCGGGACATGGTGAGCATCCCACAGATACCAGGTCTCATCATTCTTATTAGTATTATGCCAAGTCCCTCAAAGTGAAGACACTATGGGAGTAAACACAATCATAGGCAATCCTGCACAGGCACTGCTTCCTGCTCCTTCTTCCCCATAATTCTCAAGGGTACATGATAAAGCCATTATATATGGGCACCAGCTGCAGAAGAACATACCCCTGCCCAGGTAACACAATGTGGGGACTTCTGACCAGAGAGAGAGCAGATCACGTGGAGGAAGGAAGATCAGACAGATAGCAGTTGCTCTAAAGCTTTCTTTGCAAACAGAGGTGACTTCCTAATGGAAACAAAGAGCAATGTCATCCTTCTTGGCTCTGGATGAAAGCGAATGGTTAAGCTCCGCCTATTGACCTAAGCTGAAACTTTAAATGAAGTTTAAAGTAACTTCAAACTTTAACCAATTCCTGCCTTGTTAAGAGCACAGAAAACACAGCAAAGCCAAGAAATAGGAGTGGATGCACCTTGGGCATGTTTATTCATGGGACAGCAAGGGAGGGCGGGTGGTATAGGAGGTGGGAATGGGTGTAGAGTGAAAAAAAAATTTTTAAGTTTGGAAGGCAGACACTACACTGATTGAGTTTCCCCACTTCTATCCCACCCCTCCTAACGCAACACCACTTCCCAGGGAGAAGTCTCTCATCTTGGAAATAGCCAGAAGATAATGTATGCCGTGTGTACACCACCTTGAGTAAAACAGGGAGCTGGTAGGAAGCTGCCACATAGCGCAGAGCTCAGCTCAGAGCTCTGTGATGACTGAGGAGGGTGGGAAGGAGGGAGGGAGGGGGCCTCAAGAGGAAGGGAATAAACATATACTTCCCGCGGATCCACTTCATTGTACAGCAGAAACAAACACACGGCTAAGCAATTTTGCTCCAGTTTAGAAAAATAAAAACAATGTATGCCCCATGACTCAGCTTTTGTCATTCTGGAGACCTAACTTATGGGAGAACTTTTTACCAAAATTTGTAAGCCGACTACACAAGAGTGGAATGATTAGATGGGCTATAGAGTAATCATCACTGGAGATCCTGCAACCATTAAAAAGAAACTAACAACAACATGTGTAAAATAAAGTGCCAGCAAGCACTCCCACGGTGATGACCTCTGGTGATGAGTCTGAGCAAACTCCAGGAGACCTTGAGGACACAGAAGTCTCGCGTGTCACAGCCCGTGAGGTTGCGAAGAGTCGGACATGGTTCAGCGACTGAACAACTCCAGTGATGGGCCTCAGGGTGGTTTTTGTCTCTATTTTCTTTTTGATCACAGTTCAACTTTTCAAAAAACAATCTTTATTACTAAAATTTAACTTTCTCTGTTAAATGACAGACCCTTGGGAAAATACCTATGATGGATATAGGTATGTGATAGATAATTAAAATATGTTTTAAAACTTCTGTCCAATGCAAGGAAAAAAGGCTAGAATGAAAGGCATCATGATATTATGTCAAGATTATGTGTAACTTCCGTTTATTTGCCAAAAGTTTCATACTATTACCGATGCAACAAAAATTAAAATATATCTTTTTAATGTGAGTGAAATTTCTGGCTAAGATCACCCAGCTAAATTCTTCAGATGATTTCTTTCCCATTTGAATCAATTAATTCTCTAGCTTAGCATGCAATTTCCTTAGTGGTGTTTCTCTGGTTTAATAGCGTGGATCCTTAGATACCAATAATTTTGGTTGCTAAGAAATGCTTTAGAAATGAACCTCCAAATCTGAATATGGTCATAGTTACCTTTTAAGAAATGAATTTTTATTATTATTTATTTATTTGGCCATGCCACATGGCATGTGGAATCTTAGTTCCCCAACAGGGATTGAATCCACACTCCCTGCAGTAGAAGCACAGAGTCTTAACCACCAGACAGCCAGGAAGTCCCTGAATTTGTATTTTCAAATGAGGGCTCTATGCAAGTTAAAAATTGACCCATGCACAAACACCACATCTTCGCGGACATTTTGGCAGAGGCAAGAAAAGTTAGAGCTCAACATGGCAAAGCCAATTTCATAACTTGCCCAGGAGTTAATTTCTGCACACAAGAAGGCAGAGTGACAACTTGACGACTCAGGACTCTTGAACAGAGCGTGGGGACCAGAAAAAAGCAAGGTGAAACGAATGGTCTATTTTAACAAGGATTGACCAGAAACCCTTTTGTGCTCCCATCAATGAGGAAAATCTTCCAGAAGGGGGATTCGTCATGAATGAATGACGATGAAACACAGAATGGATATGATGAAATGTGAAAAATGGATTCGTGCTTCTGGACCTTTTCTTGAACTCAAGCTCTTTCTTTTCCTCTTCCATTTCATTCCTCAAGGAAAGAAGAATGGTAACGTGAAAAGTGTGGGCTTTGGGACTAATCTGAGTTCAAATTCTGTTCTGTACTCAATACCTTTGGAAACATTAGTTAGCCATTATGAACTTTTATTTTCCATGTTTAATATAAAAATCATAATATTATCTGGCAGCTTAAAGAGCATTAACAAGAGAGAAAGCGCCTAGCACCACTGTGGCTTCAATCGCAGTTCCTCAGTAAGAAGTCAGTATAGCCTACCTTTCTCAACCTGGCACAGATACATATTCTCCTGGAAACTGAAACACATTAAGCTGGCAAGTCACTTCCCCTTTAATATTTGCTGTACTTTAAGCTCTTCTCAGCTTTTCCCCTGAAAGTATGTTTCCAAAAGGAGAATGAAATGCTGAGCATATTTTCAGATGAGACTAGATTGGAAAAGGGGAGTTTCTTGAATTCTTGGACCTCCTACATGCTGTTGCCTTGGCATAAGCTCAAATGAAGTTATGTCCTGGTCTGTTTCAGAGCTTTCTGGGGTGGGAGGC